TCATGTTTAGACAGAGACGGGCCCGGGCCGGCACGGCACGGCGAGTGCTGGAGAGGCAAAAGGTTGCCGAAGCCGGACCTGGAGCTGGGGCACGAGTTGCCCAACATAACTTACAGCCCGCCGCCGGACGCACATATAGGGGAGTCAAAGCCATGAGGTATTATGTCTTCTAGGTTTGTATGTCCGACCCGCGAGAAAGGTGTAAGACCGCCGCCATGCAGACCACCTCAAGTCATCATCAGCCTTGACAGTCGAACGGCATTACGGCGGAGGCGGCAGGGCAAGTCCGGCATTATCATGATTCACGGGAGCAAGATATGCGGAAGGACCGCAAGATGTAAAAACAATAACAAGTCTACCAAATTCCATGATACCCTAGAAACAACCACCGGATGAAGCTAGTCTATGTGTAGGGCAGGGTACCTTGTCCTCATCCAGTGACAGCACATCGCTTTTGGATATCATCTTCATCTTCTTCCAATCCTAGATCTGGTCTCCACGTTGACGTTCCATGTTTGATCAAATCTCTTCGCTTTTGTGTTCATTCCCAATATGAACAGAGTCATATACACAAGTAGTCATAGCCCAATCAAACCATCAAGCCACCTATTTTGTTCATCACAAAGCCATGAATAATACCCATCCAGCCCACGATCATCAAGTTTCCAGTCTAAAAGAAGAGATGAAAGAAGAAAAGACGTGCCCGAGTAAATTAAAGAACGCCGAAATTACATGAACAAACACCCTGACATCATCATCCCGCGCTTTTCCAGAGACATCGTTTATCGACTGGCATTCCTCTAGACAGCACCGGCGCTGATCATCTTCTTGCGGAGGTAGTTCTTGTAATCGGCAATGGAACCCTCCCATCGCTTAATGGTCTTGTTCTCGCACACAAGAATCTGCTTGGCAATCTTGTCCAAAAGTCTGTTTTTGTATCATGTCAGCAACCGAGTCATGTGGGTGGCGAAGTGGGAACCAAACTAACCTGAAATCGTGAGAAACGACGATAACACCACCGGTGAAGGCGTTGATGGCATCGGCGAGCGAGTCAATGGTGGGAATATCGAGACCGTTGGTAGGCTCGTCGAGCAAGAGCATGTTGGGGGACTCGATGGCGAGGAGGGCAAAGACGATACGGGACTTCTGGCCGTCGGAAAGTGTACCGATAAGCGAGGTCTGGGACTCACCGGACAGACCGTACTTGCCAAGCTGCTGGCGCCAGTACTGGTAGTCCTGAGACTTGTCGGGGTACTTGTCACGAACGAAGTCGAGAGCTGACTTGGTCAAGTCAAGCTGCTCAGCAGAGTGCTGAGAGTAGAGACCAAGCTTCAAATGGGTGTGACGCTGGACGACACCGTCGGTGGGCGAGAGCTTGCCAGTCATGAGGCGGAGCAGGGTGGACTTGCCAACACCGTTGGGGCCGACGAGAGCGGTACGGGAGTCCATGTCGAAACCGAGATCGATGTGGCGGTACAGGTCGTCCTTGGGGTCGCCAGAGTACGAGAAGGTAACGTTGTCGAAAGACAAGACAGGAGGAGGGAGCTTCTCAACATCGGCGAAGCGGAAGGAGAAGACACGATCCTGCTTGACGGGCTGGATGAAGCCATCGGCCTCCATCTTGTCGAGAATCTTCTGGCGGGACTTGGCCTGACGGACCAAGTTGGCGTAGGTACCAGCGCTAGCAATGAACTTCTTGATGTGGGTAATTTCATCCTGCTGCTTCTGGTAGGCCTTCATCTGGTTGGTCTCCTGCTCGGCGCGGGTCTTGTGGTAAGTGTCGTAGTTACCACCATAGTAGATGAGGGTCTGGAGGCGCATGTCGATCATGCTTGTGCAGACACCGTTGAGGAAATCCTCGGAGTGAGAAACCAGGACGAGGGTGCGGTCCCACTTCTTGAGGTATTCTTCCAACCACACGCAGGCCTCGAGATCCAAATGGGCGGTAGGGTCGTCGAGAAGGAGGAGAGTGGGCTTGACGAAGAGGGCCTTGGCGAGGGCAACACGCATACGCCAACCACCGGACATGTCCTTGGTCTTCTTCTGGATGGTCTGCTTGTTGAAACCGAGACCGGTCAAGATGAGGGAAGCGCGGGTCTCGAAGGTGGAGGGGTCCATCTTGTCGATGTGCTGTGACGGCAGGGTTAGCATCGTGAATGCGCCTGGTAATCATAGAAGGGAAAATACATACATCGTAGAGGTCCTCGAGGAGGGGCGAGTCGGGGCCCTCGTCCTCAAGAATCTTCTCGGCGACCATCTCGAGACGGGCCAACTCGTTCTTGGCCTCGGTGACGACCCAGTCAAGGGCACCAAGGTCACTGGGAGGAGCACCCTCGTTCAGAAGGTAGATGTCGACGTGCTCGGGAACGGGGTACTCGCGGGCGGCGATGGCCTTGAGAAGGGTGGACTTGCCGCAACCGTTCTCACCCAAGAGACCGTACCTGCGGCCGAGGGTAAGCTCGAGAGTGGCATCCTTGATCAGGACGCGGCCGTGGAAGACGAGGGAGACGGAGGTGATCTTGACGTCCTTGGAGGCCTGGGTGGAAGCCAGGACACCGGTGGTGACACGATCGGAGAGACCGTGCTTGTCCATCTGCTGGGCAAGACGCTTGACCTCGTCGAGCTGCTCGGCCTTGGTGGCGGGCTCATCCTCGACGACGGGCTTGCCGAAAGCATCGAGCTCGACTTCCTTGACGGGCTTGCCCTTGTTGGCCTTGGCGGCCTTCTCCGCGAGACGCTTCTGCTTGGAGGCGGAAGGAGGCATCTTGAGTGATGGAGTCTGTTGTGGTTGAAGGTGTGGTGGTGATGGTTGTGCTGGTGACGATGCACGAACACAATGGGAAAAAAAAGAAGGTGTCGAAAGAATCTACTTCTCTCTAAACAGAATCACTAAGTGAATAGTGATGAGGAGGGAGTGGTGGGCGGATTGACAAAGGAATCCGATTGAAAAACACACACACTCTGGACAGACAAAAAACCGACCGTCGAAGCACAAGGGGGGAAGTGGAAAAGGAAGAAGAGTGCAAGAAGACCTGAGACGGGTCAGAGAGTCAAAGTCAAACAAGTCGGGTCGGTCGAAGGCAAAGAATGCGATGGGTCCAGTACAGCGCTCTTGGCTGGCGATTTTGCTGTTCCAACCAGGCCTGCCAGGGCAGAAAAGGTGGGGGGAGGCGGTCGCACTGTCACTGCCAAAACTTCAAAGCGGGCGACTAGCACTCGAGCCTCCCTCCTTCGCTTCCATCCCTCTGCCAGGCGGGCAAATGGTGGGGCTTTGAATTTTCACGAATTTCTCTGATAACGATTTGCTGATACCGCCGATAGCCAGCTGATAGCAGCCTTGGCAATTGGCGGTCAGGCCGCAAGGCAGCAATGACCAGCTTATCATCTGCTTATCGGGTGGTCAGCGCTCAAACGACCAACCGCATTCGACAACTTTTGGATTCTTTTTTTTGTTCGACTTTCGGAGAGATGGCTTGGCTGGTCCCTCGAAATGCCCGAACAATGACAACGGCGGTTGGGGGTGTCGCATTCACTCGAAAACCATCCTATTCACCCTCACCGTCTTCCTCTGCCACATTCATCTTGTTCATGCACAAAATCAATCAAACACCTTTTCCACGGCGACTTGCACTTGTCGAATCGCTACACGTGTTGGGGCAGACGCAGTAGGGGCTCGTTCTCGATTGACGTCACACTCCATTCCCCACCGCTGCATTGGCCGAGTGGCCATTGCTTGCATCGCTTACCTTATCTGACCCCTGGGTGGCTGACCGACCGTTGACTTTGGCGTTGGTTGGCTCAGCAAGTGCTTCTGATTCATCAGGCACAATCATAATGGATCAGACTGATGATTTTTTGCCATGATAAAGCAATCGTATTCTATTGACCTCCGACGCTTGTGAAAATGAACGTTTCGCCCAAGACAAGCGGCTGTGATTCTCATTCCCCTGGGTTAGGGTTGTTGCGGGGATGAAATGCTTCGGATGCAGAGCTGCACCTGAACACTCTGAGTTGCAACACTTCGTTCCCTTCTTTGCTTTGTCGAGACCATTTGAGCATGAAGATCGTACGCTTTAGCACCTTCAAAAGACTCAAGTAAAATTGCCAGACGATCGTGTGGCGAGGTTGTCGAGACCCAAACATGCGCACAGAACCCTTCCGGAAACGACCCACAATTCCCGCCGAGCACCCGGACCCCATGCACCCGGGCCCGGCTCCATGTCCGGCACGGTACCCTCCGCCCGGCCCCGCTTTCGTCCGTAACTGCAATTACCGTCTCGAGCCAAGACATCTACGGCCTAACCTACCCAACCCCTCTGTCGCCCCATGGCAGGTTCCTCACCGGGGCCGTTGAACTGAATCAGTCATCACGATAAACACCCGAGAAAGCTGAGATTGATGATAGCTTGTAGCTGAAGTTGATGATAGTCTGTAGTTGATGAGTAAGACTGACTGCATGATCTTCTGATTTCTCACTCTTGTGTTTCACTGAATGGTACCGAAACCAGCAACGAGGCTAGACTCAGACTAGATACCATGTCCGTTCCTTTCTAGCCCGAAGTCGGGCATCTGGGAAGTCAAACTCTTGATCTCCACGTCGAGATGGGCAGATATGATGGGAAAGTGTTGATGTTTAGTACAGGACGGGACACTCTCGATGTTTAGTACAGTCGCTTAAGATGTACAGAAGATACCTATACCTACCTACCTTGAGAATGAAACTGTGTGGTGTATCTCTCAATCACAACCTACAATGTGAAAGTGAAGGAGAATCGTACGGCTTTTAACCGTGTGAGAGTGCACTGGTCGGATTCGTTGAGCAGTTGAAGGGGTTGTTTATGTTGGCGATTACAGACGATAAGATGTTGTCACCATTTCCAGCTGCCGCTCTGATCCGTTAGACGTGGATGGAATCACTTCCTACAAACGTGTCATGGAAATAGTGTTCCATAGAACGGATTTGATCTCCGTCATGATTGCTCAAGCAAAGACTTGGGCTTCATGCCTTTTCCTGCTTGTTCTGGTAAGTTAACCGTGGATATGAGGTTTGGAATCTAGCACGTACTTGGGGATTGAATAAAGGTCCCAACCAACCGCACCCAGACCCCCAAGTAACACCCATTCTCTCTGTGATATCGCGACAAAACAATCAACTCCAGCTCATGCCCGCGGTCGGGTATTCATCTGTCAGGTAACTGTTCCGTTTTTTTCCCTGTGATTTTCCTCTTCTTGCTGTCACCCGTGATGCCGAGAGCCCTTCACCATCGTTTTTCATCGGTGTGGCTTGCATGATTTCTTGTCTCATCGTCTTGTCTTGACTTTCACTTTGTCTTGACAATGCAATGCATTTTAGAACTTACCTTACGTGCCTTGCGTGATCCTAAACGCCTATACTTGCACAACTTCAAGCTACTGCTGTAATACTGGCTTGATCCGTTGTATTGGCGTCTCTTCCACTTAGAACTGTCAACCGAACCTTTACGGTTTGTAAGTTGGCCGTGAATTTGTCGTCTGGAGAAAAGCAACTTCAAACACACACTTCGCTGGGTCAAGCAAATATCATTGCACGAATCCCGCGTGGGTTTTCTAATAGCGAAACGAGACCTTTCGGGTAAACAGCATGGAATATGGTGAGCCAAACTTCAACCATTGTGATTTGGAACATGGACCTCATGATCATTGCACTGAAGTGTTTCGGTTTTTGAGCTGCTGTCCTGCATTCGAATGTCTGTAGTCTGCAACGCTTGCCGTAGGCTCGCGGCCGGCAACTCACCGGCAGGCAACAGCTTCTCGCACTTTTATTGGTCATTTGGGTTAGCCAAGAGGTATGTACCGCTGCGCATGTACCACCAAGCTGGCCAGCAGCCAGCGGAAAAGAAGGCGGCCATTCTGTTTTTCGGATTTCAGATTTTCGATTTTGGCTGGGCGAATGAGCCAGCCAACAATAGGGTAGCCAATAGCAGGGTAGGCGGTAGCGGTTTGCACAACATCGAGTTGCAACCTTCAGCCGCTGCTGCCCTGGCACTGTTGTCTTTCACTTTTCAGAACTGCAGAAAGCTCAAATCATGGTCATTACAAAAGAAAAAGTGCTGGGAAGATTTCATAGGAGGAGATGATGGATTTGCAAATTCGCAGTGCGAGGTCCAAAATTTCCGATTCTCCAGTTCTTCACTTCTCCAGTTCTCCGGCTCTGGGGACTGGCTGTTGGAGTTGAAGAACCTGGGGTGGCCGGCCGTGACAACTGACAAGGGGTACGTACCATTTAGGCCGCCCAACCGCCCGCCCCAGCCGGCTGTCTTCCGCGCCAGCGCGTCCACCGTTCTTCGATCGCGCCAAGGCTGGGGATTTGAAGAACGATGATGGAAAATTCTGTGAAAAGTGACATTGGAGTTCATGATACCATACAACAAGAATTTCTCTATGGCCATGGCGATGGAGGTTTGTATGTGATGGTTGTGGTGATTGATATTCGTGGATTGTCAGGTGTCCGATTGATGGCTGCCAAAGCCAAAAGGTTGGCAAGTTGTTGGTTGGGCGTTGACTGTTTCTTTTCTTACGGGCGGGCTGTCATGGCACTCGGCAAATTTCGTTCACACAATGGAGGGTTCAGATGAGAAATCGTGCCTTGGCTTGGCGTTGTTGGCCTGACCCTACTGACCGGACACGACCCGAGCGTCCGGGAGTTGAAACATGCGCGGTCAGCTTGGATTCTGAACCGATGTGAGAGTTACAATACTGCAGGACCACGATTCGTGACCTGAAGGTAAAAAGGAATGAATTGAGAATGTCAAATATTGACCACTTTGTGGTGATGTTTCATCTCGTGATGGTTCGATTCATTGAAGCCTCGGGTTCACAGGCGGACATAAGAACAGACGCGGGCCTTACAGGGACCAAGTCGGTGGGTCTAGCGCGGAGGGCTGACGTCTTTTTGCGGGAGCGCAGAGTTGCAGGGCACAGGGCACAGGGCAGGTGCGTGCAGCGGGTCGTGTACATCTGCTAGGTATCTGACCAATCACAAGTCCAGAAATGGATCTGCTGCAACGGGGCCCGGGAATGGGATGCATCCAATGTGGTGGACCGGGGTGAGCAGACTGGGCCGTGCCTCTTCCCCAGTAATGGATGGATCGCTCACCCTTCGCGAGAGGTGAGCGAGAAGAGGGAAACTGGAAGACCAGCAGAAGCCAAAGGGGCACATTTTCGGGGCGTGAGAGCAGAGAGCAGAGGCAGAGCCCGAGGCCGGGAGTGTGTGAAAGAGTCTGCATTTCCATTTTCACACGCGCGCACACAACTGAACCCAGACCAAAACACTTGTAGATGTGGCCAACAGCCGAAATAGAACGGACCAGCCGGGGCAACCATCATCATCGTCGTCGTCAAGGCTGTCAACAATAACTGATGGGGGTTTCGACTACCATCTTCACATTCAAGTCATCCACACCATATCTTTGCCATTCCCCGCTATCACCATACCTTCTAACACCATCACCGTGGTCCGAGTCTCCATCGGCCCATTTCTCTTCTTCCGTTGTGCTGTGTCATCTCAACCATCTTCAATCTGGCTTCGATCCAGACTCACCCCCGTCATCCGACGATCCCACATCACCACAACCAGCACCGGCAACAAGCCATTACTTGTTGCCCATCTAGTAGTACCTTCGCTGTCATTGCGACTTTTGGCCGATCGCTTCTATTTTTTTTTCCCGTGACGACTGCAGCTACCGCCTAGCGACAACGGCATAGCGACAGCTTAGTCTCGGACAAGCTTCGAATAACTTCCCGCTTTTGCCCCTCCAGCTTGTCATCTCGAACCCAGCCGAGGCCGCCGCCATTCCATCCGAGCAATCGCGACAATCGATCGCTTATAGCAACCAAATCATCACGAATACCCGACCGATTAACTGCAACGGCAGAAACAATCCAAGTCGCCGCGCATTCAGTCATTGAATCCGATCACGAGTCGACCGAATTCTAGACTGTCCGACAAGGTGTAGGCCAGTCGGCAAGCATCAAACATAGCAACTCTACAGATCCCACTAGAGCATAACAGAAAAGCTCGCCGCTCGCCTTGTTGCGCCGCGCTTTCTTTGTTTGAATCGCGCCCCAAAGTACAAGCAAGGCAGTGTCGAGACAGGAACACGACGACAATCGTCTCGTCCGATGGGATACCGATAACACGTAGAGATTATACAAGCAAGCTAGAGGCAGAGAAACAGGAAGAAGAACAAGACTGTGTTGTGTTTGGTATTAAACGTTTGGAACTGGGATTTGAGGGGGATTGAACGGTACACGGTAGAAACCAGAAGACACCAGACATATCAGCAGCCAGCATGGACCACTTCTCGACGGTGCTGCAGCGACCTCCTCATTTTGACGAGGATGGAACAGAAGGGGGAGATCGAGGAGGAAACGGCGGCGGGCCAGCACCACCACAACCACGCGGAGGTCTGCGCGACATTCTCAACCCAGTGAGCAGCAGCAGCAACAGCGCCGTACAATCATCCCAAGCAGCACCACCACCACCACAAGCAGCAGCGTCGTCATCATCATCATTGCTCCATGGAATTGGAGGACCAGCAGTTCCGCCGCCGCCCTCCTCATCGACGAATTTCATGCGCGCGACGACGCACGGCTCGTCCTCGTTCAATTTGCGATCGCCAACGCATCAGCAACAAGCATCGGAATACCGTCATCCACTTTCCTCCCTGGCGACTCCAGCACACGCTGCACCACCACATCCAGGTCCCTTTTCGGCCTCGCCTCCCACTTCTACTTCCACCACCAACAACGCCAACGACGCGCTAGGTGCCGCCGGCAGCAGTCTGAGCAGTCAACCACCACCACCACCCACGGGTCCACGCTCAATTCTCAATCCTCCAACAACAAACCAACAACAACACCATTCAAATCCCTTTGTCGCAGCATCCGCACCCTCGCTGCCACCGCCGCCGTCCTCGTTGCAAGCTCCACCTGCCATTACACCAATTGCCGGCCTATCAGCTCCGGCCCCAGCTTCGAGCTCGCTACTACCTCTATCAGCAGGAGGCATTGGAAACTCCATCACGGTCTCGTCGTCGTCGAGCTCGCAACCACCAGCCCGAACATCGCAACTGCACGCGCCGTCGGCCTATTATTCGCCGGCTGAATCGTTCCGCGATCGGGATTCGTCATTACGCGAAAAATCATCGACAGGCGGCAGCTTTTACGACCCAACCGCCGAAACCAGTATTAGCGGCCTGAGCCCACGAAAAGATCGAGATCGCGACAACCACCGCGACCACTACCGGTCCGATACAACAAGGGAATCACAGCGCAGGGTTTCGGGCCATTCTGACACGGGCTCCTCCTCCCGACTCTCCTCCACGGGAACAAGCTCCTGGCGAAACGCGACCCAGACTTCGCAAACGTCCCAGCCTTCCGCTTCGGGCTCGGCCACGAACAAGGTAAGCCAACTTTTGACATTCACTTGTACCGTCTGCAGATGGAATCCACCGAATCACCACACACACTAGCAATCACCACTCAAAAGTCATTGAACCACCAAACACCACACTACAACGCACCACACATCCGAACATGGTCGAGTGGCCATGACAAACTTTCCACTCCCAACACCACAACCCCGTCACGTCGTCCTTTATTCACCGCCCGCTTTCCCATTCCTTTCCCTTTCTTTCAACACCACCATCATCCCTCCCCTTAGTCCCATAATCACAAACCACCACCTCTTCACCCAACCCTGCCCCCAAGGTTCTCAATGCAGTGACCAAGAAAAAGTCACCACTCCAAAACCTTGGCCGATGGGTGACGGTCTGAAAATTTACAAGTGCACGCCACCACCACAACAGCTACCACCGATTAATACAACTACTTCAGCTGCATCATTCATCCCTTGCCTGGCTCCTGACACACGAAACACCACCACCAACAACAAAGCTTTGCTGGCACTTTGACTGTTCCACTTCCACTGACCCAACCTTTGCTCTTCTGCAATCATTAGACCCGCGATCCGTACAACTATTCCCAATCGTCGACCGATTATTACAGGAAGAAAGAGAACTACCCGGTCGATCATACATCGCCTCCATCGATTGCAGCTCCGTCCAACTTTACTGTTGCGACGCGTAGTCCCATTGCCGCCATTTCCCATCCGGCGTCAGTAGCCGCACCGGCCAGTATCGGAACTGGAAGCGTTGGCAGTCTCGCCGGATCCATCAGCCCTAGGCTTTCACTCAGACCACCGAGCATGGCCTCGCCTACGATACGAAGCGCCATCTTAGCTAATCCCACATCCAACGGCAAGACTGCACTACCCGCCCTAGGCCGAAACGACTCGCCACCATCCAAGATGTCTTCCGCTACATCAACCGTAAGCTCTTTCGCCCTTCGTCCCCACGTACCAATTGGCAATGTCCATCCTCCCTCCCTTTGTCCTTCCCCTCTCTTTCAGCCAACCGTCGCTGACAACAATCGTTGCTTGCAGAATACCAGCCGCGGCGCCGGTGTCATGTCCTTTTCCCACATCCTTTCGAGCTCCGAGCCCGTTTCCAGACCGCGCCCTACTTCACCGATAATGGATGACGACGACGACATTCCCATGAAGGTCGAACGCGCCGACTCATCCGAGAAGTTTGTCAAGGAGAAGAAGGAGAGAAAACCGCGCCAGCCGAAACAGCCACGCATCTCCGATATCAGGCACTCCGAGTCCACACCCAAAGGGCGACGAGGGTCGTCCAAACAAGAGAGTCCTCTGCCCAACATTCGCATTCCAGCCAAGAGAATGGCCAACGGTGCCCCCAAGCAACAGAAGGTGTTCTCTGCCGAAAACGAGGAGAAGATTAGAAAATGCATGGACAGAATCGAAGCGCGAGAGCTTCCTGATGAGTCTGACTACGAGGAAGAGTTGCGCGAGTGGAGACAGCGACGCGAGGAGCGGAGGCAAGAGATGAACAATCGCGATCTTCGCCTGCGCCGACTTAGGAGAGCTGAGTACACAGAGATCGAGACCCAGAAGCTCAAGCTGCATGCCGACTTTGGTAAGCGTCGATATGACGACCTTAACTACGACGATGCTTTGCAAGAGGTCCGGGAGCGCGAGCTCTTTGCCGAGAAGGAGCGCAAGAAGGATATGCAGCGCAAGAGGCGGCGCGAGAAGTCCATGGCTACTACCATGGAAGCAAAGGCTGCCGCCTTGGCCAGGGCCTCTGCGGCGCAGGACGAAGCGGAAAGGCAGAAGTACATGCGCGAAGCCGAGCGGGCCAACAAGAAGGTGCAGCAGACCCGACTCATCTTGCAGAAGGGTATCAAGGGCCCAGCCAGGAATCTCAATCCCATTGAGCCGAACCTGGAAGGCGGTACTATGGCTACGTTCCAGGCCGAGAACATGGAGCCTGGCAAGACGAAGGGCAAGGGCCGTGCCGGCACGAGACCCAAGAAATCCAAGGAGCAGAAGCAGGCCGAGAAGGATGCCGCCGAAGCTGCCCAAGCCGCCCTCGATGCTGGTCTCGAGCTGCCGCCCAAGGAAGAGACCAACAAGATCCGTATCAAGCTTACCAAGACTAAGGCGCCCAAGGAGACTGATGCAGAGAAGGACAAGGAGAACAAGGAGCCCCAAGAGCCGAAGGAGGCCAAGGAGCCTAAGGAGCCCAAGGTGAAGGAGAAGGTTGTCGAGGAACCCAAGGACCCGTTGGAGCTCAAGTTCCAGTCCAAGGGCTTCAACCAGATCTATGATCAGATTTGGCGCGATCTCGCCAGGAAGGACGTCAACAAGGTGTTCAGACTGGCGATCGATTCGTATTCCACTAAGTCATCCAACCTCAAGAAGACCGCCATCCTCGCGTCGAAAGAGGCCAAGAGATGGCAACTCCGTACCAATAAGGGCACCAAAGATCTGCAGGCTCGCGCCAAGCGTGTCATGCGTGACATGATGGGCTTCTGGAAGCGCAACGAGCGCGAGGAGCGTGATCTCCGGAAGGCAGCTGAGAAACAAGAGCTAGAGAACGCCCGCAAGGAGGAAGCCGATCGCGAAGCCGCTCGCCAGAAGAGGAAGCTCAACTTCCTTATCTCGCAGACCGAGCTGTACTCCCATTTCATTGGCAAGAAGATCAAGACCAATGAGGTTGAGCGCAGCACGGACCACCCCGATGAAATTGCGGCCAGCAAGGATAAGATTCCGGAGAACGACATGGATATCGAGGTGCCTACTGGTCCCATTGGTGCCAAGGTCACCAACTTCGAGAACCTCGACTTTGACGCCGAAGATGAATCGACGCTGCGGGCCGCTGCTATGGCTAATGCGCAGAATGCCATTGCCGAGGCCCAGAGGAAGGCTAGAGAGTTCAACAAGGAGGAGTCTAAGCTTGACGAGGATGGCGAGATGAACTTCCAGAACCCGACCATGATGGGCGATGTCGAGATCGAGCAGCCCAAGCTTCTCAACTGCCAGCTCAAGGAATACCAGCTCAAGGGTCTCAACTGGCTGGTCAACCTGTACGAACAAGGCATCAACGGTATCCTGGCCGACGAAATGGGTCTAGGAAAGACGGTGCAGTCCATCTCCGTCATGGCCTACCTCGCCGAGAAGTACGACATCTGGGGTCCCTTCCTGGTTGTTGCGCCTGCGTCTACCCTGCACAACTGGCAGCAGGAAATCACAAAGTTCGTTCCCCAGTTCAAGGTGCTCCCTTACTGGGGTACTGCGGGCGACCGTAAGGTACTGCGCAAGTTCTGGGATCGCAAGCACACGACTTACAAGAAGGACGCTCCCTTCCATGTCATGATTACCTCTTACCAGCTTGTCGTCTCTGATGTTGCGTACTTCCAGAAAATGAAGTGGCAGTACATGATTCTCGATGAAGCCCAGGCTATCAAGAGTTCGCAGAGTTCACGTTGGAAGTGCCTGCTGGGCTTCCATTGCCGTAACCGTCTCCTGTTGACGGGTACGCCTATCCAGAACAACATGCAGGAACTCTGGGCCTTGCTCCATTTTATCATGCCTTCCCTCTTCGATTCCCACGACGAGTTCAGCGAATGGTTCTCCAAGGACATCGAGTCTCATGCCCAGAGTAATACCAAGTTGAACGAAGACCAGCTGAAGCGTCTGCATATGATCCTCAAACCCTTCATGCTGCGTCGTGTCAAGAAGCATGTCCAAAAGGAACTTGGCGACAAGATCGAGTTGGACGTCTTCTGCGATCTCACCTACAGACAACGTGCCATGTACGCCAACCTGCGCAACCAGATCAGCATCATGGACCTCATCGAGAAGGCGACACTGGGCGACGACGATTCTGCTAGTCTCATGAATCTCGTCATGCAGTTCCGTAAGGTGTGCAACCACCCCGACCTCTTCGAGCGTGCGGATACCGCTTCACCGTACTCGTTCGGCTACTTTGCCGAGACAGCCTCGTTCCTCCGTGAGGGTAATCCGGTTAATGTCGGTTACTCTACGCGCAGCTTGATTCAGTATGAGCTGCCTAAGCTACTCTGGCGCGACGGAGGACGGCTGTACAAGGCTGGTGAAGACAATCAGGTCGCTGGGTGGCGGAACCAGTGGTTGAATGAGAAGTTCAACATCTGGACTCCACAGCATATCCGCGAGAGCCTGGCTGGTAATGACAACTTCTCGTGGCTACGCTTTGCCGATACCAGCTATGAGGAGGTCTACCGGGCTAGCCACAAGGATCTCTTTGCTCGGGCTGTTGAGATGTCTACCAAGAAGAACCGTCTTGCCGAGATTAAGATCGCCTATGATGAGCCGGAGGACTTGAACTTTACTCCCGCGCATGCCCTCTTCAAGATCAGGGAACGCGAGGATCGGAAGCCTTTGGCTGATATCACCGAGCAAGGCATTCTGAGCAGCTTGATGAATGTCTCGCGTAGTGCATTTGCTGAGACTGGCCTTGGTCGTCTCGAGCAGGCTGCGTGCCCAAAGACCTCCGCTCCTCCTATCGAGGTTGTTTGCGACACCTGTGCCTCGGTCATTGAGCGTGAGAATATCATGTTCAACGCTCCTATGCGTAAGGTCCTCTTCGGACCTACCTTGGCCGAGGAGAAGGCACTTGTCCTACAGGAAGGTGCCGCCATCACGCTACCCACCTCCTGCCTTGTTCCCTGCACCAGACAAGGAGAAGCAGAAGTTCACCAACATCACCGTCCCTTCCATGCGCCGCTTCGTTACCGACTCCGGCAAGCTCGCCAAGCTGGACGAGCTCCTTCGCGAGCTCAAGGAGAACGGCCACCGCGTACTCCTCTACTTCCAAATGACCCGCATGATCGACCTCATGGAGGAGTACCTCACCTACCGCAACTACAAGTACTGCCGACTCGACGGTTCCACCAAGCTCGAAGACCGTCGCGACACCGTCGCCGACTTCCAGACCCGTCCCGAGATCTTCATCTTCCTGCTTTCTACCCGCGCCGGTGGTCTCGGCATCAACCTTACCTCCGCCGACACGGTCATCTTCTACGACTCGGATTGGAACCCGACCATCGACTCGCAAGCCATGGATCGCGCTCATCGTCTGGGTCAGACCAAGCAAGTCACCGTCTACCGTCTCATCACGCGTGGCACGATCGAGGAGCGTATCCGCAAGCGCGCCATGCAGAAGGAGGAAGTCCAGCGCGTGGTCATCACGGGCGGCTCGTCGGCTGCCGGCGGAGGTGTCGATTTCTCTGGTCGTCGTGCGCCGGAGAACAGGAACCGCGATATCGCTATGTGGTTGGCGGACGATGAGCAGGCGGAGATGATTGAGAAGCGGGAACGTGAGCTTCTCGAGAGTGGAGAGATGGAGAAGTTGGCCAAGAAGATCAAGGGAGGTGGTAGCAAGAGGAAGAGGGGTGGTGTGGGTGGTGAAGGGAAGGAGGTTAGTTTGGATGAGATGTATCATGAGGGTGAGTCTTCTTTTTCCGTACCTGACCAAGATGATGAAAGGACGTTGAGCTAACAGTGATAACAGGCGAGGGTAACTTTGATGATGGTGGCAATGGTACCAAGGGTAGTGGGACGGCTACGCCTAATGTCAATGGAGAAGCGGGAGGTGACGGGAAGGGCAGTGCCGTGGGAGGAGCGGCGAAGAAGAGGAAGACTACGGGTGGTGGAAGCAAGAAGGCTAAGACTACCAAGCAGAGGTTGGCTATTGCTGATGGGGAGATTTGATATCTGATGTCATCTCCTACAGCAGAGTGAAGAGGCCTTGCTTGCATTGGTCATGACATATGCCTGGTCAAGGCACAAAGAGCGCTGAATTGGTAGTGGAGGAGATTTGCTTTCACCGTATTGTTTTCGTTTGTACTACTAGATGGTTGGGAGGTTCCATGGTTGATGGCCTTCGCTCAAGCATTCACTTACAACTTGCATGTTACGGAACAACACCAGAGGTCCGGAAAAGCAGCAAAGGAGAAAGGGAAACAAGACGCATCCGGTAATGGATGTTTCACAAGGTAGAAAATATGTATGGATATAGCATAAGCAGAATAAGGTACAGGTAGACTAAACTACACAGTTCACAGCTTAAATGCAACCAAAAAGGACTATGGACCAAGCAGTCTGGAAATGGATATCTTGATGTGTTACAGTTAGGCTCTTGTATTCGTCAAGGAGGCAAGGACGCGGCTTGGAGCAAGACTCACGATGAACCATCAATGCAATGATAACATGTCAATTTCATATTCACTTGCTATGCTGCCTCGATGGCTTACGACAACTGGTCAGGGTTAGGCAACATTCTTTACGAAATGCATGTCACAAGCACGAAAGTTTCGAGATCTTACAAGGCTAAACCGGCGGAAGGGAGGAAGGCAGGCAGGAATGAAGGGCTGATAGATGGTTGAACCTGATGGGACGGAATAGAAAGGGCGAACCTGGGAGGGGTTGGAGAGGTAAACACGGTAAAGAGGGATATGAGCCGATGGCCAGGTTTAAATTTTGAAGAAAAAAAAATTACCTGCTTGCTGTGTCATTGCAAATTTGAGCGTGGTGGTTGGTGTGTTGGCGGCGGTCAAAGGACATAAAGACGATGAAAGCATGCCCGGCTCCGGAGTCAGGAAGCAATGGGCCCCGGGAGGAGAGCTGGGAGTCGAGACGCGGAGTTGTCCCTCACCAAAGTCAATGCTATTTACTATGGGCTGTTCTCCTCGGCGGTTCACGCATGTCCATGTCAACTTGTCGAGGCGGCATGCGGGCAGCGGGCTTGCGGGCACAGGAAAGTGGTCAAAGTGGGTCAAGCTCAGGTAGGGTGTCGAAATGTTAGTGCACGTCTTGTAAGTCGCCCGTGAGGCCGCTGGGGTCTAACAACGTGCCTTTCAAGCTGTCCATCCGTCGAAATTTCTTGCTTGACATCGAAACACGGGAACACTTTGAAGACACCGGGCCCAGAAACCACCAATGCCTTGCATAGATGCTTGCCTACTATCTCCCTCTTAAACCTTGGAGGGGATTACAGTGTTGCCTCTTTATGGTAGAGGCACCTTGAAATGCGACAGCGGAAGTGCCGGCTTCTTTGCGGCCGCCCGGGCACCTCCTGTCTTCCGGACGTTCTGCAACTGTGCTGGGCGCTATCTTTCCCCGTCCGACCTTCCCCCCCTCCATAGCCGCTTCTTCGCGGTCTGTCTCCCGGTCAAATCCTGGACGCTCCGTGTTGCCAGTGCCAGGCCCCGATTGCCACGGGCATGGATGGTGTGCTTCCCCGGCATCCTTCCGTCCCGCCTTTCCTAACGACAACGGAGCCTCAGAAACGATCAGACGACCCTCGAGAGAAAAAGAAGTAAAAAGCACAGGAAGAAATATACCACCGTCATCTTTTCTCCCGTCCGATTTAGACGAGCAGGCTAAGACAACCTAAATTGCCAGTGCCCCTGATCACGCCCCGTGCATACTTCACGGCCACGGCACACCTCCCGGGAAATATGGGTCATGCTGAAAACAACAACACCACCAGACTGAACATCTTCCCAATGTCCGATCTCAGCGGGCCGTTTTGTCAGGACACTGGGCGGCGGTTTCGCTAACACTTCCCTGGCTCTGCCCGACAGGGCCAGAAATGACCAGAACGACCCCACGGCCGCCATTAACGGTTTCTACACGAAAAAAGGTGTCCGGTATAAAGCTAAGTGCAGTTACTTCTTCTTATGAGTTTTATATGATGTTTGGCCCGGGCGATGATCGTGACAACTGTGAACCTTTCTCGGTCGGTCGCCGGTAATGGGCTGGTTGTGTTAGTGCTTCGGTTTTGACGATGTGTATCTGAGCAGTGGGGATGTAGGGATCGCTAGCATTGCCATGGCAGGGATATCACCATCGCTGTCGACATTTCCGCACGAAGAGAAACTCAGGAGTATAGAATTAAGTCTTTCGGCTCTTCTTGAGAGGTTCCCGCACTTGGATGGGCAGTCGTACGATGATGGATGGTGCACAGCCTCTTGGCTCGACTGCTGGTTGATGACACTTTATTGTTGGTGCTCCTTTCAGCCTGCGTGCTTGATAACCTAACACTCTCTCGGCTGTAACGAAAAAAAAAGCTATATCGATGTCACCGTTGTAAATGGCTTCTTCGTATCAAGAAAACCTGCTAGGTGTACAAGCACAACCTGCCTATCCCTTCAAAACCCTGAGTCATTCTTTTGGGTAGTTGATTGAGGATAAACTGTGCACAATTTTTTGGTCAGGTTGCTGCAAATGGCGGTTTATTGTTAGTGCTCCTGTCTGGATATCCGTCTGACCCACTTCTTTCATGTCGTGTTAACACTGCCATCACAGGAACAGAAAAGTGCAGACCAACACCAGCAGATCCATCTAGCCTTTTATACAAAAAGAAGGTGGGTGGTATCTGCCAACTGAACTCATTTCCTTCCATTCAAGAGTTTGGGCTACTTTCTCAGGCATCGGAACCCGTATTCAATCTGACGGGAGTGTAGGGTTTTGTAGCTTATATCGAATTGTTTTTGTTCATGCCTTTCTTGAACAGCGATCGCTAACACCAACCACTGCAGGGCAGAGGATGCTCCAACATTGCCATTGCCATCTATCTTTAATACCGAAAGAGACCGATGTGTGTGAGGTTGAACATTGTCACTGCCATCTAGGAGCTTGACATGGATTTCCGGGTCTCCGATGAGGTCGGAAAAGGCGAAACTGTGGTCGATTTTGGAGCATCTTTGTTGACACATTCACGCCTGAACACTCCCTTTGTTTTATTCGTCCCCCAGTCATTCCTTTTTGTTAACAAACTCTCCCGGGCAAAGTGGTCCTTTTTGCCTTTGACGTAGATGAGCTTGTTTCTGCCCTTCACTGCCTTCGCTAGTGCTCTTTTCATCCCATTCTGTTTGATTACCCGTTCTGTCTGTCCTGGGATCTTGATATCCAGAGCCAGCAAATGGTCGATGGTCGAGACACACGGGGTCGGCCAGTTCAAGATGCTTGCAAATGACAGGAGGGATGATACCACATGGGTAAAGAATATCAAGGACTTGTGGCCCGGAAAGCTTGCCAGAACCTGATGCAGAGCCGGTCAACGCGACGGGAGTTTCAAGACCTTATCTTCCACCCTAGGTGAGGGCTCGGTCTCTGGGTACAACGTTGGTTCATGCTGCTACTGCTGTTGTTAACCGTTGCATCTTCTCGGTTTAATCGACAGGCGCCTAGCCCAGAAGCGTTGATGTCGATGGATGTTAGAGCATCTGAACAAGCTGTGGGTGGGCAGGCTAGCACGTGATGGGCGTTGTCTACATTTGCGCTGTGGTTCTTCACAGGTTGGAAGATATGTGAATGGGGACCTAAGAGCAACGTCGGTGAGTCCAGTCTTTTTAAACCTCTTCCCCTTCCAACCTTGCCATGGCCTTTGCTTTCTGGAGAGGCTCATCCCATTGCAGTGGCATATGGACCTCCAATTAATCATATACTGAAGTATTGGTACGTCTTTGACCTTGGTTCATCCACAACCCAGCACCAACTTCCCGAGGCTTACCAGAAAGCTTCGTAGGAACAGCTAAACGAAGTCAAACGCGTTGTCAGTGAACCTTTTCCTGGAGTTTTTCGTCCTTGCAGAGCAGACGTCCCCCTTCCCCAGTGCTTCTTCACGTGGAAATCCGCTTCACTCGTTCTCGGCTGTGCAAGATCCAAGTTGTTGGTAGCCTGCAGACCTGCGGTGGGATCAGCTGTCGCCCGTGGCATTGGCAACCAGGTTTCCTTGTTTGCTTTGCGTTACCTTCACGCGTCCTCCTTTGCGTTTATTACACCTCCAGTCCTCTTTATCTTCCTTTCTCCAACCCTTCGTGGTTTCGTCCAAGACCTCCCACCGACCTGGATCATATATCATTTACTGTCAAGACTCAAGACGCGAGGACAACCATGTGTGACCACACTCACAACCACCCCAACACGGGGCCCCGAGCACTGTCCGATTCATCGACGACGACGACAGCGACAATTCAAGTGTCCAGGAACTAGAGTCTAGGTTCTTTTCATTCCTTCGGCAGATTGCTTTAGGCATTTCTGTTACAAGTGGCAGCAAAACGGAGAGCATAATTCATCTAAGAGCCCGGACGACAGCCATGTCGAGACTGAAAATCATCACAAAAGCACAAACAACAGACGCGACAAACGGGAGAAGAACAACACAAGCTGTCGGATTTATGGAAATGTATCACGGGCAATATGTACGGCCGGGAATGTTCAAGAAGAAATTGAGTTAATGCATGTCTTTGACTAACGCTATCTACCTTAGATACAAGTACTCATGCTACTTCCCCCATATTCAACTACAATCCAATACTGGTTTGTTTGTTAGCTCGAGACCTCTGGCCTTGGCTAGATCAACCTTGTCGTTGACCAGCAACCCAAGAGACTCCATGGTGGTGCCATCAACGAGGGAAACCGACCGTTCTGGTTTCCCTCGTTGATGTTCGACTCGATCATGACACTGATGACGGCCCTTCCAAGAGTCGTCGATCAAGGATCGGACAACCTCGTTCTTGATGTCAGTGAAATGATTTCAACTTTCCACCTAGTTGGTGGTCTGACCAGGACGCCCTTCATCGTCATCCTGGTAGAGATGACAGGTGTTAGATGGGCTATTTGGACAGCACGAAGCAAGGCGGATAACGCTGTGGGAACATACCTCAACGGCACGACGAGGACACGGTCGCGGATTCTCCGTGGCTTCCTTCATCTCTTAGGGTCCGGCCGCCAGGTGCCGAGGGTAATCTTGTTGACGGGGTCGGTGTACTGCTCGTTGATGTACTGCGCAGAACATTGCTGGGGGTCTGTTGGTGCACGTGGAATGATGTCAGCTTATGTGAACAGCCACCAAAGGGAGAGTCGAAGAACAACTTACACATGGCCGGCTGTGGATGGTACCACCGGTAGAGAAGGCGGGGAGAGAGTGGAAGCCCAAGCACTCGTAGACGATACCCTGACCAGCGACGACGGCACGCCGCTGGTCAGGGTGTAACGTGAGCGAAGGAGAGCAAAAAGGAGCGTGTACCAGTGGGTTTATGCACAACCGATGGCTTTACTTGCAGTGGCCTGGAGGCTGTGAGAAGAGAGGGTCAAAGGGGAATTTGGAGAGACGTGGTCCTCGTAACACCAACGGGCGGGGGTTCGCCGTACTGGGAGCGGGCTTGCAGGAGGCTCGATGGCCGAGAATGCACGCCGGGGAAGTGTCGACCAACTGCCGTGCTGCACGCGGGCCCGGGCCTTGCAGATATTCCTGGTGGCTGCGCTGGATAGGGTCTACCCATAGGCTTGAGCTTTGCATCGAGGTGAACAGATGATGGGGCCTGTGTGCGAAGAGATACATTGTGAGCAGAAACGTCCCAAAATGACTGGATGCGCTTGCCATCCTAGTCGGTCAAACCTTGGAGAGCTTGGTGGTGGCTAGGCGGCACTCTGCTTCTGAGAGGTGCCTGACATTGGACTTACCAAAGAGAAAGTTGTCGTTGGGGTACTTGGTGGCGAGGAAGGACTCGAAGCTGGAGGACCAGATGAGGCGGTCAAGAATGCGGCGCTGCTCGTCGATAGGGTGGATGGAACTATACCAGCCGGTCCAGTCGATGAGGCAAGCGGGCTTTTCGCCCAACAAGTCGAAGACAACAATGGAGAACCGAGAAAGGAGAAAGGGCAAAGCGAGAGAGTGCATATGTTGAAGTGAACGGAGTGAACAGAGACACAAGGAAAAAATCATGGTGAAATTTTAACTGGAGAAGAAGAGAAGAAGCAGGAGAAGCGAGGACAGAGCGTGGGCGACCCTCGATATATGTGAAGGTATGAATCGGCCAACTGCCAAGAGGACCATCATTCTCTACAGAAGAAGCACCCAGAAGCACCGGAACGACTTTAAACCGGCGAAGGGTAGGTACCTGCTGTTTAGACTCCTCGATGAGCTGTATCACCCCTCAAAGGCCACTTCCTTCCCCGCAACGGTAAACGGGTCACATCATTCTGAGATTACGCGGGGTCAGATGAGGTGAGAGAAGCCCCTGTCTTGAGCAAGTTGCCGTCCACATGAGCCAGTCACTGCCCTTGGGCGCAGTGAAGGAACCGCGAGCTGGAGAGAGGAGCACCCTTCCTTCCTCGCAGAAGGCAACGAGCCACAGCTTATTGGAAATTACGCGGGGCTAGACCAGCGTCATCAGCCGGCAGATGACGATGGATCCTTGCCCGGGCTCGTCCACATGAACCGGCCGCTCAGCGTTAGGGAGTCAACTGGCAGTCAAAGAAGGAAGGAGGCAGCCGCCTCCAGCCACCGCTACGTGCGCTCCATGTTGGTCACCATTGGCGCAATACCAAAGACAGTAAAGGTACTTCGTCGATGTACCTTGGCCGGGACCGGGTGAGCGCACAATTCTCCCTCCTTCGACTGATTTCTTTTCCCTCTCCCTCTTCTGCCCCTCCATCCCCTCCCTCTCTCTCCTTTTTCCACATTCATCTTCCATCACCAACTTTCTTCACAGTATCCTTCAAGTACAACCGTAAAGACTTTGTCGCGTTCCATGCGCCGTCACAAGCATCTGTGGTCTTGAACCTGGAAACCATCCAGACGAATACAACTGGGACCGCATCAACGGTTTGTCTTCCCTCCTGGCCTTATCTCGCATCAGAGATTCTTTTTTCCCCCCTCTCGAGGCCGTACTGACAATGCCCCTTCCATTTCAGTCCTGCTTGCACCCACACAAGGTGCAGAGTTCTTCCGTCAACTCCCAAGGCTCTCAAGCCAACTAAGGTGAGTCCAGTCTTCTGTCGTCGTGGATGGCGCCACCACCTATCCCCAAATGTGACATCAATCTGACTGAAGTCAACAGATCAAGTCCGTTGTTCCTGCTCTGCCGCAGAGGGTACCCCCAGTTTTCAGATATCAAGGTGAGTTTGTTGTCATCGACGAGACTGCTCTTCCCTTTCCCGTTGCTTTCGTTTGAGTCCACGGTCTGACAGGTGAAACCAGTAGAATCCGTCTCCCTCGTTGGCCGTTCACGGATTTGATCGCACCGTGCCCCAGGCGACAGGACTTTTTCAGATTTTTCAGGTCAGTCATTTGCGCCTGGTCATCAATTCAGTTGTTTATTCCATGTCTAACACACCAAGAGACCACAGCACCCTCGATCTGCTCCTGGCACAGTCACGACTACCCAATGCTCGCACATTGCATTTCTCGCCGGTTTTCGCACATTATCGGGGCCCTTTTTGCGCTCCTGATTGTGTATTGGCTTTGCCTGTTGGCCAAGATGGACAAGAGATTGGACACGCCTGTGCGTGTCAACATCGGCGGTGGTGTTGCTGGCTATGCGGCCAGCAATGGCACCAACTGCACCATTGCCGCCGCCACCACCACCACTGACGCTATCACCTACGCCGACGTCCCCGCCGAGATCACCGGTGCCACCGTACTTGTTGCCAAGGCCACCAAGGTCGAGAATATCGAGAAGCGTAAGTTTGAGGAGGATGTCATCGCAAAAGATGTGATAGCCTGGTGGAAGCGCATGTGACAGGATAGGAAACGAGAGAGCGGCTTCAAGGATTACATGTATGTCCTGGCTCTCCACTTCCATCGTTTCATTACAATACATCATCAAATTGCACTGCGTTGATGTGCTGACCCTCTACCTTCATCAGAACCAAAACCCGTTCTTCCCATTTACCTGCCATCATGTTCAACTTATTTGGAGACGGCTATATGTTGTTCATTCCAGCTGCAGTGCGTTAGGAGAAGCTCTTCTATCCCTAATCCAAGGCCTTTTCGCCAGCAAAAAAAGGCTTCTGTCACTGTGCTACTGCCTGAACGAACATGCCCTTAGATGGGTCCAAGCGCGACGGTTCTCGCTCTGACGCGACCCCAGAGCCGCTGCCTCACTTTGGCCCAACAGACAACCGTAAGAACAACAGCATCGCATCGCGATACCCCGACCAGATCCCCAACACGATGCTCCACCTTCAGAGACTCCAAGAACAGGCAAAAAGATTCCAGCGAGGCAAACTCGAGCATTAGCGGCAACACCACCAACGGCACCACGCGCGGCATTACCGGCCATGCCGCAGGTTATCGCGCTGTCCAGGTCGAGCCCACACTACAAAGTCTGCAGTTGCAGGAGGACACAGATGGCAACATGCAGGCCCCACAACATCAAACAACGCCACAACAGTTTGTCCACACCGGGCATCTCCAGCTTGACCTTCATCTTCTCTAGCTCTCGCGGCTTGACGCTCGCCAGGTGTATCAGGTACACCGCTCCCTCATGGAGCAAGAACTGCGACTTCAGCACACCAATGTACGAGATCGCGGCGCGCACGTGCACGTACCTCAACCACACCTGCTCCGGGGCGCTCATCCAGGTCAAGATGACGCAGAACCAGGACACTCAGGCCAACGCGGCCCAGGCCCAACAACAAGCACAAGGACAACAGCATCGCATTGCGATACCCCGACCAGGAGCTCTCCGTAGTCCTTGTTGATTGCGTAGTCGTCGTCGAACGATGACCACCGTTCCTGGAGTGCCTCCTCGGCCTCACGCGAGTAAGGTTCTTGAAGGTAGAGGATGGCCAAAGTTTACCATCAACGGGTTGGTTGATAGCGTAGAGGCCGCGGGCCTACGCTTACAACATTATATACCGGCGATCTCAAGCTGGAAATCATCCTTCTGAACGCCAATGGTCACATCGCTCTCTGCAATTTTGGTCTTTGGGAGGTAGACTTGTAAGATACGTGTAGGAAATTGGAGGGTGAGAGAGCAGTCACTCCTGAGAAATGAGAGTCAACGATGGATGTTACCGCTACACCATAACCGATTGAACTGGGCACGTTTTTCCTTTGTCATTGTAGTTCCATAGTTCCTATTTAGTCCTTAGAGTTTTATTTCGTTTGTGATATCAAACTTGCTTGCATTGTGCTATGTCGTGTTGCTTCTCGCGCGATTGCTCGTCGTGAAGTTCTTATTTGCTGCCCATGATCATGCCATGTCGCAACCCCAACCAAGCACCCATGTGCATGTGAGACACTCCACTTGAACCATGGTGCATGGCCATGCAACAAATGAGAAAACCTGCAGATCTATGGGGAAATGATAGATAATACATTGCCATGTGTTTTTTTGGTTAGAAGAATGATATTTGGTGGCGATATCGTTGAGTGTCTTCGGGTGTCGGGATGGAGTGGAGAAACCAAGGCCGGAATGGCACATGAGACGAAAATCGCAACTCACTGCAAAGACGCCAAAGAACATTGAAGCCCGTTCAGGAATCAACTGAAAGAGCCATGATTGGCATTCATTCAATAAAATTCTGGTGAATAGAAGAGATATCGTCGAGTGCCTTTTTCGCTGGACTTTGGGTCAGCTCGCCGGGATTGGACATACACTGAAGATGCACTGCCCGTAGTGATTGAAACCGCGATGCTATTGATGCGAAGTCCATTTTTCACTCGCAAATTCACAGGAAAAGCGTCAACTCGTCGAGCCATAGATGGGAAAACAAGATTGGCTTCGCAAACGGTGGTCATATGAAGGAGTCTGCTTGCGTAATGTCACGTTGGGTCGGCCGGGAATCAGCAATATTAGGGCATAGAGGAGGACAAGACTGTCGGTGGCTGTCAATATCTTCAATGTAGGTAGGTATGGTCCACAGCTGTATGTCACAAGCAACACTTTGAGCAAAAACCGCATGGAAAGGCACGGGAGTGGTTTCAAGGTGATTGACTACCTGCTAACTCTATACTACCTGCTACCAGCTATATGAAAATGAAATGAAAAGAAGAAAGACTAAAGAAAGAAAGTCTAAAGAAAGAAAGACTAAAGAAAGAAAGACTAAAGAAAGAAAGACTAAAGAAAAAGAATGAAGTTGTTAAATCTTCAGATCGAACGCCGCCTTCCACTTTGCAGCCAACAACTCCGCCTTCACCTTCTCCAGGCGCTTCCTTTCCTCCCCGATGGAGGGGGTGTAGCTCCTATTGACTTCTTGCTGCCCAAGTACAGGTTTCTTCCACCAAATCGACCGAGAACACAACAGCTATATGCTTCGTCTGGCACAACCAGGTACTAGATACAGGTAACAGTGGACCAAAAATGGAATAACAATGGAATAACAATGGGATGATGTTGATGTTACCACAAATACGGCACTCCAAACTCGGCCAACTGGAGAATCTTCTTTCGTAGCCCGGAAAGCTGAAAAAGGGCCATGCCCGTTTCCTCCTCCATTACGAGCCCCCTTACCCCATTCCCCCCACTCTGTTCGTGTTCCTGATATTGCTCTCACTGCTTTGTCTCCTCAAGCTCCTTTCCTTTCCAGCCCTCCAAATTGGCCTCCTCGTTCAACGATGATGAACATTGATATTATCAACGCTATGCTGTTGACGACAATGACCATCCGGATGACAATCGTTTGGCCCTGTTGCTGGGGTTTCCTCTCGATGCTGGTGCTCCGCCAGGGACCGGAAGGATAAATGTTGATAGAGATGGTGTAAAAATGCCGTGCTATCTCAAAAAGGTGATGTGAAAAGAGGTAAGATCCAAAAAGAACCAAGAAACTGCGGGACGCAGTGCTGCTCCACCGCTAAGGGTATCTCCAGCCTGGCTGGGCTACAGCCGCCTCGGAAACGCAGCCTCTAGCCTCGAACAGGCTAATTTTGCCTTCTGGCGTGTTTCGTTGGCTGGCATTCCATGGCACCGTCGCTGGCAGATTTAGTGGTCCCTGGTTGAAATATCTCATAATGCCTGTGTAACCCGCATGGACATGTTTGTGAAGTGGGTGCCGGCGCCGGCGCTCTATTGTGGTTTGCCCTTTCACGTAGTTTCGCGGGCATCGGCGCCGGCTGGCACGAAGTAGAAGCCACTTAGGTGCCACGGATGGCGTTATCGATGATGCTTGTAGGGATGTTGATATTGATGATCCGTTATTGATGTTGAAGGCCGGTGGCATGATGTGGTGTTGGAAGTCTGTGCCCTGGACTGGGCCGCCATTCACTGGCCTTGCCCATTCACCGACACGCCCTTTCGGGTATTTAGGCCGCCCTGGTTTCCGTTTCTTTTCTTCCGCGAGACAACTCCAGAACTAAGTGTTCGACCACTTCGTCCAGAAGCAGAAGTGCTTGCCAATGCCAGTGGAGGTTGTCAAATTACTGTGTTTGCCTCAGTGATGCCCAGCTGGCGCCGGCGCCCTAAGCAGGGGTATTGTTGTGGTTGTCCTCCCCGGCGCCAGCTGGAGCGAAGTGGAGGCCACTTCGGTGGCACGGATGGTGTTATCGATGATGCTAGGGATGTTGGTATTGACGATGTTGATGTTGAATCCCGGTGGCATGGACATGACTGCGATGCGCTCAGCGACGGCTCGAGGTGATTGTTTGCCATGCTGAGGTGGCTGTAGACCAG